AGTGAACCTCGGAGGTAACTTCACCACTGAGCTAAAAGGGTGTCTGGGAGCCATACTCTCGGGGTTTCTCCAGTCTCCTTTAGGCCAGTAAATCTGGTCTCTTTTTTTTGTGAGTTAGAATTATGCTCTACATCCTTCTCCAGCTCTGTCCAGAACCCTCTGTTGTGATCCTGGTCAGAGGAACTGCTGACCTTTTGGTTAGCAGCCGAGCTCTTAACCACTGATAAATTCCCACCTACTCCCAGTACAACCAGAATGCTCCATAGAAGCAGGGATAGTGAGACTGCGTCTGACATACTTTAGACATGTTATTAGGAGGGATCAGTCCCTGGAGAAGGACATCATGCTTGGTAAAGTAGAGGGTAAGCGAAAAAGAAGAAGACCCTAAACAACAAGATGGATTGACACAGTGGCTGCAGCAATGAGCTTAACAACAATAAGCATAACAACGACTGTGAGGATGGCGCAGGACCAGGCAATATTTCGTTCTGTTGTACATAGGGTCGCTATGAGACAGAATCCACTTGGCAGCACCTAACAACAACAAAAACTCCCTTGAAGGTGACAACCTTCAAACAAGGCTCCAGGAATTGATGGAATACCAACTGAAATGTTTCAACAAATGAATGCAGCGCTGGAAGTGCTCACTCGTCTATGCCAAGAAATTTGGAAGACAGCTACCCAGCCAACCTACTGGAAGAGATCCATATTTGTGCCTATTCCCAAGAAAGGTGATCCAACTGAATGTGGAAATTTTTGAACAATATAATTAATATCCCTCGCAAGTAAAATTATGCTGAAGATAATTCAAAAATTGTTGCAGCAGTACACCAACAGGGAACTGCCAGAAATTCAAGCCGAATTCAGAAGAGGACATGAAACCAGGTATATCACTGCTGATGTCAGATGGATCCTGGCTGAAAGCAGAGAATACCAGGAAGATGTTTACCTGTGTTTTATTGACTTCTGTGAGAATCATAAGAAATTATGGATAACAGTGTGAAGAATGAGAATTCCAGAGCACTTAATTGTGCTCATGAGGAACCTGTACATAAATCAAGAGGCAGTCGTTCTAACAGAACAAGAGGTTACTGCATGGTTTAAAGTCAGGAAAGGTGTGTGTCATGGTTGTATTCTTTCACCATACTTATTCAATCTGTATGCTGAGCAAGTAATCCGAGAAGCTGGACTATATGAAGAAGAACAGGGCATCAGGGTTCGAGGAAGACTCATTAACAACCTGTGTTATGCAGATGACACAACCTTGCTTGCTGAAAGTTAAGAGGACTTGAAGCACTTAGTGATGAAGATCAAAGACCACAGGCTTCAGTATGGATTATACCTCAACATAAATCAAAAATCCTCACAACTAGACCAATAAGCAACATCATGATAAATGGAGAAAAGACTGAAGTTGTCAGGATTTAATTTTGCTTAGATCCACAATCACCACCAATGGAAGCAGCAGTCAAGATATCAAACAATGTATTGCATTGGGCAAATCTGCTGCA